ACGAATACGTGTATCGTTACACCCCCTACTGTGTGTGTGTGTGTGTGTGTGTATATGTGTATATATAAGTCCTATTTTCGATACATCGATACGACAATGTATCGTCACAGAGATTTGACGATACGAGTATCGATACAGCTGGCCCTGTATTGATATTGCGGCACATGTGCAGCATTGGACCGCGCTTAATTTGAATACAAGAACAACGTTTAAAATTGAGTAGAAAAGTGCGAAGTTTCTAAAAAATAATGCATAGAGCACAATATATAGGCTACAACAAGGTTTAATCTGGCCTCAGAGGAACACAACTGGGTTGCCTGATCTAAAGAGACGTAATCCCCGAAACCAAGCTTCCCACTTGCGCAATACGGAAATATCTGCCAAGTGTGCTACTTATCTTTGTCAACCTGGCAACCATGCACTGAAAAAAAAAAATGTTGTGTTGAAAAATATATTAAATTAATCATCATAAATTCTACTTGTAATATTAAAAATTAAGGAGAACAACACTTTTCTAAGTAAAATTTACACATTTAATTCATGTAATTAATGAACTGCGTGAGAAGAGTAACTCTTATTAATTTTATAGTCATTGCACATAAATCTAGAAATATTGAGTACATTTTAATCTAAAAGTTCAGCACGCTTGAATCCGCACATGCGTGTTTGGACCCACGCTTTGAATCAGAGGGACGGTTGGGCTTGTCACGGAGGAGATGCATGGCTGGATTTTCTCGTGTTTAAGGTAAGTTTGCCTTTCTGTTTTAGATTTCTGATTTGTAATACTTTGGTCCGTGTGCATTTCGATAGTTTGATTCTTGTTTGCTTGACTCATTATACATTGACGTTCATATTAATCACATAACCTCATTAAAGTTAACTTGCGTGCGATCACAGTGAGTGATATTTCAGTGAAAATGTTTTCAATAGTTCAGAGATACACAAAGCTGTTTTTCACGTAAAAACTTGAGCACAATTGGAAATTACTGGAAATTATTTAACGTTGTAACTGCTAGCTAGCTAACATCGTTACTAAATTAAAACAATCGCATAGTTTAGCATAACGCTAGTTTCTGTTCTTTCAAACACTTGACTGACATAATAGAGAGCGTTTAGAGCAAGAACATTGTAGTAATCTCATTAATTGTTGTGTTTTGTCGCTATGCTAAGCTAACATACTACCTAACCCTAAAGCTTTATAGGTTTTTTATAAGTTTTATAGGACTAATTTTGAAAAGTGTGAATAGAAAGTGTTAGTAAAAGTGTTTTTACGCTTCTTTATGATGGAAATCAACTTATAGTTAATTCCAGTCCAGTCTTGTCAGTTTGTAATATCTTTTCTTTTGCTCAAACAATCTGTAATTTGTTGGTTAAAAAGCAAAGTCTTATGAACACGTTTCTATCAACAGGAAGGCTTTGGATTCACTGCAGAATAAACAGGAGTGTAAATTGATGAGCATACAGAAGGAGTGATTGGTCTCATTCTCATATTCAGGTAAGTATAAATCTATGCATAGATTTGCATGATATAACATTGTTGTTATTTTTTACCTATTCTTCACTGCATAATATAAAATTGTGGTTAAAGTTAAATGTTTTAGATCATTGTTTTAATATCACAAATTGCGTCTGTTTATTTACAGGGTGACCTAACTCTGACGACGAGCCAATACAGTGGACACTTGAGGTGTGGGGAGGAAGACAGACTGATGGTTTTCATCTTAGATGCAGTTTTGGTTATATCAGTACTACCTAGCTCTGTCAGGTTAAAACCTCATCTTGTTCTGTTTAAGTATTTTCTTTTTCTATATTTGATACCTCCTGCGGTCGAAACTGTGTATGGTGCAGCAAATGCAGTTCATGTTGGTAATGGAGATTGAATTGTATTACAGAACAGCAGACACTTGAAGTAGCATTCAGTCATACTTTATTTTTTTCTATTTTCAATAGACCAAATATCACCAGTGGAGGTACACATGTTTTGTTGATTAATGGCACTTTTTTATGAGGCTTTACTGCACCTTTAAAAACTTGTGTCCAGACTTTAGTAGGTCATGTGAATGTGACTGATTCACTTTTATTAATGTTGGAAACATAAAGAGTTAAATTGTATTTTAGTTGTAGTTTAGTTAAGCGATTAAGCTATTTAGTTGATAAAATTACGGGGAAGCGCTAAAAAGTTTGTTCCTGAATGTCTGAGTGTGGCTGCAACGTGATCTGTGTGAGTGACTGAGCGTGTGTGTGCGTTAAATACAGTGAAGACAACGCATTAGTTTAGAACTCTTCTCATTTTTATTTTTTAAACGAAGAGTGTGTTCATTTGTGCAATGATAACCTACCAGCAATGTAAATATTTTTTTATATATTAGAATGAGTACATTACAACATAAATTTATTAAAACGAGTACATTATTAGTTATGGGCTTAAAACCAAGATGCAAACAATCAGAATATTGTACCTGGTGGAGAGTGCCCAATGTAAACATGAAACATATGCCATTACCTATATTGTACTGTGGTACAGTTATGGAGGCCCTTCATAATGCAGAGGTCAACTGCCTGCTCTGCCAATAGTTAGAAATGGCACTATAGTATGCAGTGTTTAACAAACTAATTTTACTCAATTCTGTTGAGGTGAAATTCAGTGCAGTCCTGTATCGTGATATGTATCGTATCGTGGCCTCTGTATCATGATACGTATCAACCCTCTACGGACACCTTGGCAATTGAATCGCCATTGGCTAGTAAATTTTTTTGTTTACTCGCCAGACTGAAATACTATACTATACTATATATATATATATATATATATATATATAAAGCTAATTGTTCAGAGATCTGAACTTATTGTTTCGGGAAAAAAAAGTTTCATTCGAGAATTGAGCCAAAGCAATTGAGAAAAACTGTAAATGATTCCACACTGCTGACATGTTTGTTGCATTAGTGTGTGCCTCTATTTGATCACGTCACGTCATTGTTCGGTACAATTTATTTGGTCTTTTCGCTTATTTTGGTTGCCGAAAATTCGGTGCATCCCTAATACACACACACACACACGCACGCACACATCGAATGTTTGCATATAAGGCATCTATTTATTTTTTAGATCTATCAATAGGAATTTAATTCAATTCAAGAATGGCTCCATGAAGAATCAGGCCATTTATAAGCAGAAACTCTGCAACCAGCATTTCCAAGAGCCACTTGACGTGCCATACGGGACAACGGTGAAAAAAACAGCAAACAGCATGGCTGAAACTGATCCCACAGATATGGAAAAAGACATCTTGCGCTTTCGGCAGAGTTTCAACTTTCAACCAATTATGATACAGCTATACTGAACTGTGCCATCCAATTGTGTAAAGGTAACGTAAGGTGGTTGGCGATACCCAGTTAAAAAAAATAACCATTCTCCATTTCCAAAGTCCTGTCACCTCTGATCACAAAGGCATTAGACCATGACATCATCTGACCAGAGGCTCGAGACGAGATAAAAGAGTGCACACAAACAGATTCTACTGATACCACTCACAATATCTCTTCACCCCCCCCCCCCCCC